CACGTAACATCACGGCTCTGAGGAAGGCGAAGTCGCCGAAACGTCAGCCATCATTCAATAACATCAAAAACAACGACAACGACAACGACAACGAAGATCTGTACCAACCTCGCGTCAGCTTAAGAAGATCAGTTTATAAGATCATATAAATAAATATATCAACTATCTATGCCGAGGTTCATAGAAAGTCGGTCTTTCGAATCATTGGTGATTTTGACGTCAAGATAAGGGCACGTGTGGCGCAGTGGTTGGAGGCGCCACTACGACGCACACATGAAATCAATATCCGCGCCCATGGCCCACCAAGCCCTCCATCCCTCCGGAGTTGACAAATTGGTACTATACTTCTCTGGGAAGATAGCAGGACTGGCTCGATACATCGGTAAGCTACCGCGAGTTATTGTAAAGGCCAGACATGCATTCAACCACCTCCAACGACGCTTAATGATGTTGAATGCATGGTGCATCATCCCTCAAGAATTGATCAACGCCGAGAGCTTTTTCTTTTATTAACGTTAAGATTAGACCTAACTTCTGAAAAACGTCACCCTGGGACACAAGGATTAGAATGAAACGAGCAGGGTGATCGACGGTCTGAGTTCATCACGACGTTCATTTATGGTAACTTCAATTCCAGAAGCACCTCCGTCAACGTTGCACGTGGTAGTCTCCCATTGAAGAGTACCATAACGAAATAGACGACCTCATAGTAAATCGAAGGTTTTGCCCTACCGACGTCGCCTTTGTCGCAAAATTCTACGCTGGATCAGACCATCGCCTTCTTCGTGCAAGATTTCATTTCTCGCGGAAACAAGAAAGAACCAGTGAATTGAAAAAACGAAGTACCAAAACCATCATGAACTGGGATTTATTCAGTTCACTAGCCGGTTGCTGGGAAGAAGCTGCAGAGAACCGCCAATTTACGTCCAAACTTGCAAAACAATGCGGACAGGCGATGAAAGAGAGTCTTAAGGACAGAAGAGCACCAGTAATGGTAGAAGCTGCAGAGGCTGGGAAAAGCATTGACAAAGCCCAACAAAACGTCACTAATTACAAGACTAAGATGATTGCACTCCGACGTGCAGGTAGAAAAGTTACAGCTTCCAGAAAAGTAACGGAGAAAACCACTCACGATTAATATTGGGATATTTTCAATAGCCAAGTCTTCCTTCCCTTTTACGAAACAAAGCACAATATATATGTTGTCCCACAGTTTCTCTCTTCCGAAATCCGACATGCTATTTCGCCGATAGAGAATCGAACAGCACCTCGTCGAGATGGGGTATGACCTGAGCATCTGCATAACGTGCCGCCAGTGTTTATCAACACACTACCTCCGCACTCCAGATCTTACCTGTCAGAAAAAGAATGCAAGGTTCCTATTCAGTGGAAGGCCAGCACGACCGTCCTATTTTTCAAGAACGGTGACCTCCACCATATCAGCAACAACTGCCCAGTCTGCATGATGTTTTCTATATGCAAACTCTTCTATCATGTCATCCTAAACAGGATTTGAAGAACACTCGACTTGGGACAACCATGTGAGCAAGCAAGCAAGGATTCAATTCGACGGAATACATCACACTATAACAAGACTCACTGAAGTATTGTGAGTACAAGACATCACATGACACCGCTTTGTCTCACTCCCATCGATTTAAGGAAAGCTTCTGATTCACTTTTGATAGAAGTAGTTATGGAAGCTCTGGACAACAAGGGGTCCCTATTCAGTATATAAAGTTTTTTCTTGAGGTGCATAAAAGTTTTACAACCGATTTATAACCATTCTACAGTTATATTACCATTGACGTCTAAAAAGAGGTTAGGCAAGGCGATACGATCTGGCTAAAATTATTTACTGCCATCCTCGAGAACGTCATGCGAACATTGGAGTGGGATAGCATGGGAGTGAAATTTAATGGTCGGCACCATCTTCGCTTTGCCGATGACATCGCCCTTATAACAACAAACAGCCAAGCGGAACGAATGCTTGCCGACTTTGATAAAGCCTGTGGAACGAAGCTCCAGTTATGCCTATCTAGGTCGGGAAATCAACATGTTGAACGACTTAGCTCCAGAGTTAAGAACAAGGAAACGAGCGGCTTGCCGAGCATTCAAGAGCATCGAGGATGTGGTGAAGAGAACAAAGAACAGCCGATTCCGTGTCCACGTTTTCGACGCAGCGGTACTTTCTACGTTAACGTATGCGTCAGGAACCTGCTCGCTGAGTAAGCAGAATGGAAGATCGCTCATCGTTATAGAACGTGCAGTGAAAAGGACGATGCTAGGAATATCCCGCATCATTTAAGTGAGGGATGAGGTGCGAAGCTCCGATCAACATCAACGATCAAAAATCACGGACGCCGTTTTAAGGGCAACGCTGTTAATGATAAAGTGGGCCGCACTCGTAATGCGTATTCATGACAACCCGATGGACAACAGGCGTTAGTGACTGGATCCTTAAGGATGTCAAACGTACTGGAGGCACACCATTTGAGTTCTTCACGAAAATCGCAGAAGAAAGATATGGTGCTCAACGAGTCCCTAGATCATGGAAAACCCACTGGGTTACTCTTGCACGCGACATGGAGAAATGGAAGGTTTGCTGGTACCAGCTGAGTCATTCGACGACCAACGAGACGGCAGGTGATACAGATGAACGAAGAAAAAGTTGTAAAGGTTTTAGCAGCGGATAAAAGCTCTCCATTCGGTATTTTGACCCATTGGATAGATAGGTATCGACCAAATATTAATGAGTTTTTGTTTAGATCTACGGCACTTTACGCAGATATCAGAGAGAAAGCCGCCGCTATGGAGCAGATCTCTCTGGAGGAATCCATCGATAATGCTAAAGCATATCTTGGAATCTAACACCTAATCGGTTTTCTATTGATTTCGATGTGCTACTTTCACTTTCAAATAAAACATCACCACATTTTTTCTCATGTCATTACTAGTAACTTGAACTTTGTATCTATATCTAAATCAAGGTGGTTAATTCCGTACTAAGCGGAAATGCACCACTTAGCGATGCCATGCTGGTATACGATGGTCACTGGTTCAACCCCACTACGGAGCAATTGAATACCCCATTTTTCCTGTACTGGCGGATTGCTACAGGACTTACCTGGGAAGACCTCTCTGCGATCGACGAGGGCATGCAATCACTTGCAATTAATACTTGGATATCATTAATTAATGCTCCTTCGAAATTCCAAGGAGACTCAACTCCATCAGTATGCAAAGTCATTCGTGAGGAAGTAAAGGTTTGGCAAAATGGCAGATGAACTCCCACATATTTCCGAAACAGTTCCTAGATAGCGGACACGAAACAGCGAACCAAATGAATGGAGTCCAGGGATCCGCATAATATGTTAAATTGGATGACATAAATAAATTTCCGTCACAACACTACTGTCATTCCTTTTCATAAGCATCGGCGATCAAAGTGATCAGTGATAGGCGGCGATGGTAAAACATCAGTTGTTTCTATGGCTTGATAAAGTCATCATATTAGTGATTGCCCTCCACCTGATGTAGGTAGGAGGTAAACTTAACTGTGACAGGGTGGATTTTCATCTAGACAGTTCAGATTTGAAGATAACCTTCGCTGCCTTTGTTGAGACCTGTTTCAGAGGAGCAAAATTTGAGACGAGTTAACATTAAGTGGTCACAGCTGTTTACCTCCTGTAATCCAACGTCGTGTAGTCATTCATAAAGTAGCTGAAAAACAAATATTCGGGATAGAACGCCGTTTTTCGAATAACACTTCAAGAAATTCATCATATAATGAATACAACCAATTATCTATTTATAACGAATCCAACCAATTACCTACTACTTCAGTTTAAAGGAAGTAAAAGGCAAATTAGTTTCCTCGCAATAATCGCTAACTTCTGGATAGTGCTGATCCAGTGACACACAGTGCGTTAACTGTCATGGGTCGTTTTCGGACGGAAATGGTAAGAGGTCACGGTTGTCGATAGTGTCCTTACTTTAGATAAGGTTCCCTTGATTATTGCGAATTTTGTTGAATACAATTCCTGTAAGGGACGTGTGTGACGCAGTGGTCGGAGGCGCCCTACAATGCACACGTGGAATCGATCCCCGCGCGTTTGGCCCACCAAGCCTTCCATCCTTCCGGGGTCGACAATTTGGTACCAGACTTGTCTAGGAGGATAGCAGTATTGGCTCGATACATCGGCAGGCCACGCGTCATTGTATTATTGTAAAGACCAGATAGGCATTCAATTACCTACAAACGATGCTTAATGAAGTCGAATGCATGGCGCATCCCTCAGGGACTGATCAACGCCAAGAGCTTCATCCTTCATTTTTTTTCAATGTCTCTCATAATCATTTTATGTCCACAATATCGCCAGTAAGTCGTTAACTGAAGTCGATGGATGGGGTGGAGAGGAAAGAAATCTGTCGTTGAACGTAAGCATAGAAAGAGAACTTGTGAATTCCTATGTCATAGTGTTCGTAGAACAGCATTCCGTTTAGCTTATAGACGAGGAAGACCGGAGTAATTCGCAAAGAATGGCCCATCTTACAAGGATTTCCATTTTAAACACTTGGTGAGTGGCACCGATCAAATTGAGTACTGCTTCATAAATAAGGGACAGAGATGGGCTTTAGTTAAAGAGCCATTTTGCAAGTTGTAGACTGTTTGCTTTCCTGAATAGAGATAATGTCGTGCTTACTCGTCAGTTAGACGTTGACGACCTTCCTGTATCTATCGAATGACAAGGAACTGGTCTCTCAGGTGCTTCATACTTGACACTTGACACTTAAAGGGCCATTCCTCACTGGTTGTGCGAGGCCCCATAATAATCTCCAATTTTTTGAGATTTGCTGGTTGTGCCATTGTGGTTCCCTGGAATTCCGAGGCCAGCCTCGCAAAAGTCTCCCCCAGGTCTTCACCACCACAGGCAGTCGCAGCTCTTGTGGATCAGAGGGAGGTTTGCCACCATGCGACCTTGATACCAGGACGGTGGTGGATCATGGTATTGGTTTACTCTTAGCTAGGCTTCCTGATGGAAGCGCCGGACTCCTCTTCAGCTTGGGAGAGTTGGGAGATAGCTCATAACGACAATGAGTTTTCGATGTTCAGATTCTCGTACTGTTTATGATGTGCCAACGTTGTTGCAATGGCTATCAACTAGCGCCATGAGGTGAATTTGATGTGAAATACACATCGAATTCGTAAGTACATTCCACTTTCGGCGTAGACGGTTTCACCATTCTTCTTCAGCTCCGAGTTCCGAAACAGAAATTAGTCGCTTTTGATATGAACACTTATCTACGGGATCCACAAGTATTGATTGGAAAGGGGTGCTCTGCCTATAGCGAATTTCAGTTTTCGTTAAACAAACCAGGCTTTCCGTATTCTCTTCAATATCCTACCGACATAGAAAAGGCCATGAAAAATAGCTTTCTACTACGACAACAACTGTAGAATAACATGTTATACTACCCAAATTATGCTGAGATATTCGCAAAAACCAGGTCAGATTCAAACCCACGACTATTCTTCCCGAGAGCTCACGTCTTGCCACTGTACCATTGAGGCTCTTGCTTTACCTCTAAGCCAGTTTTTACACTAACGATGCCATCAGCAATCACCTGTGAACGGGAATGATCTGCGGAGCATAAGTCGGCATTGAACCCATTTAAGCCGAGGCAGTAAAATGACATGACGTGACAATGTACATTACATACTATATTACATGCACATTAGATGCTATATTATCACAAGTCTGCCAGATATGGCATAAAAATATTGTCGTAAAGGCCTCAGGGGTCCTTAGAGAAAAATATTTCCTTCTTTCTTAACTAAGCAGACATGTGACTGGTTGGGAAGACGAGCAGAACAGCTGATAACACGACATTTACGTGACGACGTGACCTCTAGGGTACACATGCGATGCGAAGACAATGGCCGCTTTCTGGTTGAGATCACTATATCTTAGCCTACACTAAACTCCACTAATTGCAATACGGACAGAATCCATAAATCTTCTCGCATAAGAGAAAAGTCCTCTTGTTCCACAATACTGAAGTTCTGATTTCATGGAGCCGATGACATACCTTCCGTCCACTTCATTGCTTGAAGGCTCACATTTCGAAAACGAGAGTGAGTGAGCCAGCAGGGTTCCATCTGACAGGACACAGTGGTACTACCCAATGTACTGCTCGGGTTTGTAGCTGTCAGTCTTCCGCTGGAAATTCTTAAAACTTAGGTTGGGTTTTCAATTTTTGAAAGCTTTATTTCTAAACACATTTAAAACAGAAAATACACTATATAAAAAACATATATATGATTAAAGCGATGTAATAAAGTCTCTTCCACAAATCCATAAAGTTTTGAACTCCAAAAATACCACAAAAATCGAGAAGTCATCGTCATCTCCTGAGAAACCGACTTCGTAGCTACAGGTTTAAAGGACAGCTACTGTTCAAATGCAGCGATTCCTGCAACGAATTTCGCTTTGGGACAGAGGCAGCCCCAGATTGAATTTTTGCACTTTCATTTTCGTCCTAAATTATTGTCTAGCGAGTTTTTAACGCGTGTTTTCAGTTCTTAGTGGTTTTTATAGGTTTAAGATCTAAATAAGGTAGGTGATTTTAAGGGTTAAGTTCGCGTTTCTTTGATTGTTGCGATGCCACGACTTGCTATTTTCAAGATTGGGCGGGACCTTTCAGGCCCTAGGAAAGTAATGCAATTAGCAGAACAACTTGTTTTGGTGTTATATCAAAGTAGTGCATCTAGGAGGACATATTTGTTCCCAATCGGTCTTTGACATTTCGTTATCGTTCGTGTGTTGGTTTCTGCATGGCGTTGCCTTCGTTGTCTGCATGTAAATCAGCTATTTTATAGAATCTGATTCGTTTCATTTAATAATTTCTACCCACATTTCCAGATGACTAAGGGTACTCAGGCCTTCGGTAAGAAACACGTCAAGTCGCACACACTGTGCAAGCGATGTGGGCGCTCGAGCTTCCACATACAGAAGAAGCGGTGTGCATCATGTGGGTATCCAGATGCTAAGAAGCGGAAGTACAACTGGGGAGCGAAATCGATCCGTAGGAGGACCACTGGCACCGGCCGCATGCGCCATCTCCGCAAAGTGCATCGACGTTTTAGGTCAGACGTTCTGATTTTATTCCTTTCTATTATTCCTTGTCATTCCATGTTACTAGGCTTATTCTGTCCTAACTTTCGTGGCTAAGTTTTGATGAACTTCCTTTTACTTATGCATCAGTTTTTTAAAAGCCTCACACAATGTAGTCACTTTGTTACTTACTGCCTTTTTTTCATGGCAGTGTATGATGTGAAATATAACCACAGTAGTCAACTTGTTTGAACTGTTGAGCTTACACGAAACTTTAACGGAATTCAACAGTTTAAGCAAGTTGACCATTCAACTGCCATGGTTAAATGACGGTCGGTGTGAAAATTATAGCCACAATTACAACGTTGCTGAGATATTTGCAAAACTCTGGACCGCAGGTGTCTATGGTGGTGAACGCGTTAATCCCCGGAAAGGACAATAACGCTTTCGTTCTCAACCATAGACACTTGCGGTCCAGAGTTTTGCAAATATCTCAGCAACGTTGTAATTGTGGCTATAATTTTCACACCGACCGTCATTTAACCNAAATGACGGTCGGTGTGAAAATTATAGCCACAATTACAACGTTGCTGAGATATTTGCAAAACTCTGGACCGCAGGTGTCTATGGTGGGGAACGAACGCGCTATTGCCCTTTCCAGGGAGTAACGCGTTCACCACCACACCAAGCGGGTCCTTCGTTTCACCTGTCTCTCAGCTATTTCTATCGATCTTTTTTCCACAGCAATCACCCGTCAGATTTGCGCTCCCCAGATCAACCTCGCTGACGGGTGATTGCTGTGGCAAAAAGATCAATAGAAATAGCTGAGAGAAAGGTGAAACGAAGGACCCGCTTGGTGTGGTGGTGAACGCGTTAATCCCCGGAAAGGACAATAACGCTTTCGTTCTCAACCATAGACACTTGCGGTCCAGAGTTTTGCAAATATCTCAGCAACGTTGTGGTTGTATTTCGCTTAGTGACCTGCCACGAAAATTATAGAAGGCAGAAAACAAAACGTTAAACAATATAGCCACAATGTTTTCTTGTACACTTCAATCCGCTCCCTATTACGACCGTCAGTTCTTCTGTGACAGCACTCGATTTGGGTTATTTAACATATGGCCTTGAACATAATGTTACTGATGGTAAAAATACGCTTTTAGTATGACCTTGTGCTCATCGTTGTCAGGACTGCTTTTGAAAATAGAAGCATACATTTGGTCAAAAGTCTTTAGTCACAAGCGAATTATCAATATCTGAGAAATCCGACACGTCCTAGGAATCTGTGATGAGACTAGCATACTAGTTCAAGCAAACAGGATTAAAGAGCACTCTTTCTAAGGCCTTCTTTCAAATAACTGAATGATTCGTTGATGATCTAATTGTGCTAACTACTGAACTATTCACTATATTTGGTGACGCGAGCTCCCAAATTTTGTTACAGTTGAAATGGAAGAATAGTGATTTCTATTTGACTAACTAATCGATTCGTTAGTATTTTCTATTTCCTATTGACTTCAATCGATAATCTCCCAAAGAGTCGTTTTATCATCTCCAATTGAAACAAAACACTACAATACTTTGAGGCGGTATCAATCCACTATGACGGACAAACCCGTGTTTAGTATAATTTCCATGATTCTACATAGTAATATTCCGGAACACTTACTAAAACCTTTCTTCCCCTTTACAGTGGACGTGGCAAAACTTTATTTTGCGTGATTCACAACTTTTTTACTTGAAGAAATTTTCAGCACTTTTGTCTTTCCCCGAGTATTAAAGGCTTATCCTTTTTCCTCCAACATTTCTCATTTTATATTTACGGAGTAGAACTGTTTCTGAACAGGTTAGCTTGCGTGTTGATTACAGTACGTGTTCTCCTAGTTGGAGTATGTGGATTTTTTCATTGGTTTTTCTTTAGTGAGGTTCCAACATTAACAACGTGTAAACACATTTATTATGAAGTAACCGCATCCAAGTGTCATTTTATAGTTTCCATTTACAATGATGCACCATAACTTCTCGGAAATGTGTAGTTTAACTACAACGAGGAATGTGATGTTCAATGTAATTTCTATAATTTTATACAGTAGCGTTGGGCTTGGCGTAAGCCGCGTATAGAGCAGTGGCCGGAGGCGCCCTGCAATGCACATGGAATCGATCCCTGCGCCCTAGACTCACCAAGCTCTTCATCCCTCCGGAGCCGGCAATTTGGTGCCAAACTTGTCTGGGAGAATTACAGCACTAGCTGCATACATCTGTAGGTCACCGCGAGCCATTGTAATGGCAAAATATGCTTTCAGTCACCTCCAACAGTGCCTAGTGAAGTCGAATGCATGGTGCATCTCTCAGGGATAGATCAACGCTGAGAGCTTTATCTTTTTTTAATGTTGAAATATAGTTTTCTTTATTTTCACACTTAAAAGCGGTACAATGCCTCCACTGTTCAAGTTTGTGAACGTTAATATTCGGCTCTATGTTTTCTTCAAACTGGTCGAATTAACGCCTTTAAAATATCTTGAGGAAATTCCAGAAAGAAAAAGTGTGCTCATGCGTCATTTAATAATGGCACAGAAGACGAAAGTGTTGCTTAATTGAAGTGCAAAGTGAAGTAGATTTCTATTTATAACAATTGTCCGTTTTCTTTTTCAAGACTTTGTTTTGACGAAGAACTAGCAGAAATTAGTTGTCTGTACGAAAGACCACTATTGACGCAGTCTAGTTTCGTTCTCATTCTTTCGCACCTGGTTGCTAGCAGTACGTTTGCAGTACATTTACTATTGTTAAATATTCAACCTTAACATACACGTTGATGTTTTCAAGTCAGTAGATTTAAAGTGGCATCTAATGTATTTATTTTCAGAAATGGATTCCGTGAAGGTACAACCCCGAAGCCTAAGGTCGCCGCCAGTTAATGTTGTTTCTGTTTGATGTTGTTATAAATACTTTCTTAACTCAACAAGTATGTTGTTGTGGATGTGTAATATTAGTTATAAGATATTGTAGATTGTTAATTATTTCATGACAAAGGGTGGAAATAGGACACATTATCTCATCTTACCGTTACCGTTTTTCACTAACCTGCCTTATGATGATGGCGTTGGTAACATGTGATGGGAAAACGATCACTAGTCTTAATTACGTTCTGAGTGAATTAGTCAAGAAAGCATTCCTGGTCTGAGGATGTCCCTTGTGTGAACAGTGGTCATTCAGTATCGGTTCTCGTAACACTATTCGGCAGATGTGTTACCAAACTAGAGAACTTTTTTCGTGTACTCTAGTGTGAGGTTTAATTGGTAGTATATCTCACTATCTTGTTTTGCTTCTGAATATGTTCAGACTATAAAAATCAACAGTGGTTAGCAGTGGTGCAGACCATTCATTCTGTAATTCATCGCAACTGCTGGTCCTTTTTGAGTCGGCGACCCTGTGAGGTTCGTAGTTTGGTGTTTGCGGTATTGGATTAACTCATATTGAGATCCTCTATGTGCATAGGAAAGTTATGATTGTACATGCGCATTCATAACAATGTGATATTGCATGGGTGTGTCGTACCGGAAGAAGGCAGTGGAAAACCGGTAGTGCAAGTGGTCGTATTGACTTCTAAATACCTAGGACTTCGAGATCTGATTATAGCATAGTTTTCCCATATTTTCTGCTATTCCTACCCGATTTTTGGCTCGGTCTTCCTTGCTAGTGGAAAAAGTGTATGCAGAGATGTGCACGAAATTGGAGAAGGACTACCTATTATGTCGTTTTAGCCATCGTTGGTCTTTATATTGAGTAGCTGTGGCGATTTGTTATACCAACAGAGCAGGTTTCTCTTAATTGAACACTGACAGAGTGCTACTTTCGATTATCTGCTATCTACGTGCTGCTTCAGGTATTTGCATAGAAGCAGATGATACCTGGCATGAATAGCGATGGGATGTCATTTTCAAGTAACACAGTACTTTCTTCTTCAAGGAAATGCATTTGAAATAAAGACGAAATGTAGTGAGGTAACTCGTAAGTAGTTTATGTGCAATGAGTTTCCAGGTCTTCTTCGCTTAAACATGGCTTCAAATATTGGAAAACACAACGGGCCAACGTTTAAGGTGACATTGGTTAACAATTTGTCAGAATCTAAGTACTGTAATTCTTCGTATTTTTGTTGAGCAAACGCGAGGTGTTATTATTCTTTATTCACGAATAAGCTGACGTTTCGGCGGATTTCGCCTTCCTCAGAGCCTGGAAAGGTCAAGTTGATAGCAATCTACTAGGCCAGACGCCTCCATAACCAAACAAAGAAACTCTAAACCAAGATTTCAATCACGTTGATCACAGCTCTGCACACTCACCGCTTCCTGTGAGTTTTCCACGGAGTATGTCGCGTGAGACCAACCGCACAGAATTCACATGGACGCGTAATGTATCCCTTCCATCAGAATAGCAGTCTTATATACTGCCCTATATCACGCTTGATAATGAGGCATTCTTCCCTGCGGTTCATTTTTGGATTTCTGGAACTAATCCAGAATGCCTCGAGAGTTTTTCGCGCCTGTGTTCTTGATTCGCGTGCAAGGATCGTGACACATACTTCAAAGTCGTCCCCATTATGTCTCTGGGTCCTATGCGTTTCTAGCGGTGTATTTGGCCTATGTTTGCCGGCTAGGTGTTCTTTTATGCGGACACAGAGGGGTCTACACGTTTCGCCAATGTATTCGTCACCGCACGTCTTACAGGAGATCAGATAAACTATACTCGAGCTCATGCAATCACCGTCTCTACCACTGGGGCAAATTATGCAATTCTGAGTTGCACATAGACGGTTATATAGGCGATTACGAACTAGCTGGCGCTTAAGATTACTCGGTGGTATTTCAACTACGCTTACCGAATTCTCTAACCCCGCCCTTCTCAAACAGCGTTTTATAGCTGTACTTATATCATTTGAGATGAAGGGTAGGATAAGCGGGACCCTTCTATCGCTAGAGTTGTCGTTTGGAGGCCTACGATTTCCTCTACACCTATCCTGAGCTACAGTTTCGTAGCCATTAGAAATGGCTATTTGCCGTGCCAAGTTCCGGGACTCCTCTCTCTCTCTGCTCTCTTCCCGTGCACACGTTGGTTGGTGT